ATCTTATCCCAGTCTTTATTCAGGTTGGTCCTGAGCCCTAAGATCTTAGGAGCACCCTTCTGGGTTAGAACAGTCATGCCAGAGGTCCTTGGACTTCATTGCCACTTAGTCTAACTACTTGTCAGAAATGTGCTGAACTCTGGAAGGACATGGCCAAGTGGTTTTACTATGCATTTCAGTCATAGGGTTCCTATCATTACCGTCAACAAGGACTTAAGTCCATGGAGACAGAGGCCATCCCTCTGTCTTTCACCGTAGTATCCCTGATGCCTAGCATAGGGTCTGGCCCCTCCTAGGTACTTTGTTGAAAAAAATAAATACAAGCTGTGTGAAAGGTCTGGGGGCAGGAAGGCAGAAGGAGGTACAAAGAGAGAAAGGCCCCACGGTTTGTTTTCCATGAGCCTATTATTTCCGTGAGCAAATAAGGTAAACACAAATAAACAACACCCCATTACTAAGTGATACCTGTCACAAGAAGAGAACCCCCTAGGTTGAGTTGGTCAGAGGAAGCATTATGGAAGAGAGAAGATTTGACGGAGCAGGGTCTGACAGGTGCCAGCTGTAAAAGTAGGGGGGCAACCAGTCCCTGGAGCCGGGGGAGAGGGCCTGGCCGTGGGCAAGGTGGTTAGAGACTAGCGGGCAGGGAGGAGTCCATTTGGACCACAGCCTGAGTCAAGTCTTAGAACGAGAAGCAAGAAGGCTACAAAGATAGGGTGGGGTCCAACGATGAAGGCATGGAAAGCCAGGCTAATCCATGGGTTTTATCCCTCAGAAAGAGGAAAGCCACTGAAAAAGGCTGAGCAGAAAAATGTCATGACGGCGCAGCATTTCACAGAGATTAATCGTACTGGACACACGGAGCCAGTTAGGCTAGTAAAGGCGTCTTGGGCTCCGCAAGGAAAAGTCCAAACTAACAGCCTGGTAGGGGGATGAAATGGAAGGGGTGAAGCTAAGGACCTAAGCTGTGAGCTCCCACCACTTCCCTCTCCCTCTCCCCCAACACCTCTCTGTAGGGATAAACACCAAATACTAGATGGACCCTATTACTGGGAAGTACTTTTTGTGGGTTTTTTTTGGGGGGGAGGGGGGTTCTAGACCTTCAGCCTAGTAGTATTTTCACACCCCTGCCCCAGCTGCCTCACCTTGGGAGTGGATTTTGAAAGTCTGATGAAGGAGGGGTGTTGTGAAAACCTCATTTGCGGGAGGGCTCCCGGCTTCTGTCTTAAATCAGCTGCTTTCCTTGTTGGGGAAGGCTGATGCCAAGCTGTTCTGTCGCTGCCCAGCCTACATCTTGATCCATTTAACTGGCCTTCCCACCTTTGTATGTGCTCTCAGAAAGGATGCACTGACACACAGCAAAACGCAGAGGCCTTTGCTGCAGAGGGCATAAACTTTTTTAAGCATCTTATGCCCTATTTCGTTCAATCAAATATTTAACAGTGAAGGACAAAGAGTGCGTATACTGTCCTTTTAGAGTCCCAGTCTACAGTGCGAATGGCACCATCGATAGGATGAAGGACACTAAGTTGGGTCAGATTTGCTGCTTTTTATGATTTAGAGAGTTAACTCAGAATGTGGTTAGATCCCAACACCAAAAATTGGCAAGTCCGCCGGAGAGATGAGGTTGTGTCCCGTTATTTTTCAGCTGCCCTCCAACATCAATGAAACCTGCCTTAGTACTTGAACACGACAACCTAATGGCCAGGAGAAGGACACCCGTGCATCCTGAAAATTCAACCTGTACACAACTGTATGATTGTAGAGAATTCTTAAATTCAAGAGCTCTAAGGCCACGGACTCATTATTACAGATAGGAATTCTGGGTTGGACTAGAAACACATCACCGTCTCAAAGCGCGCGTAACTGCAGAGGCTCTGAAAGCACACTTCCCAGAGGGGAAGACGCAAGGTTAACCCCCCTCCCTCCAATGTTAGGTATAGTGTTTCCCCTTACTGGTGGCGTTACAGGCACAGGTCTGCTTGTTCTGATGTTTGTGGCAGTTCACATGCAAAAGCATACTGAGGTCAGGGCAACTTGGCTAGGTTCACTGGCCGCCCAGGCCTTGCAAATTTTCAGTGCTCTATTCGGTCACTGAGTATGTGTCAATTGCTAACACATCAAGTAGTGGTTAACTTTGAGGAACTTACTCACGATGGTTACATTCTGTTCGTGTAGGTACATCCGCATGGAAAATGCCAGATCATAATCAGAAGGAGAGGTAGCTGATGATCTGAATGGCTGGGGGCATCAGCCAGAGACACACAGGATGCCACAAACATTTATCCTATGGAAGATGCTAGATGGACTGTCAGTGTTTGCCTCTTAGCCTCCCTTTTCCTAGGCTTCATTTCTGATCAACATTATGATCAACCCACGCTTCCTTTACACCTAACTTGTCTTCAAGTTCAAGGTCAGCATCAATACTCGGTCTGGTGGCCATTCTGTATCCTTCAGGGTGCCTCTAACTACGCTGTTCTGATCCCTTTTGTTTGTTTTTTTCCCCATTTAATTATCACAGCTGGGAAGTCTTCCTTCCAGATTCTTTGGGGGCTCTGTATACAATACAAGTCTTTGGAGCTCCCAAAGAATCTGGAAGGAAGACTTCCCAGCTGTGACAATTAAATAAGTGTGCAATTGTTATCCAGAGACTTTATAGTAACCGCACATTGTTCAAATATTCATCACCCTAAGAAATGTGGTAAGTAGTCCTTATCTGTTATGTTTGCTAAAGAGTAGCAGAATCATCAACTCTCATGCTATTGGCTGGTCTGATTTTTTTTTTTTTTTTTTTTTACTTTTTATTTCAGATTAAGAATGACCCAAAAGACATCACAGCTTTGTTCCAGAGCCAATGTTTATACTCAAGTGCCTGACGGAGGATGGGGCTGGGTGGTGGCTGTGTCTTTTTTCTTCGTTGAAGTCTTTACATACGGCATCATCAAGTCATTTGGCGTCTTCTTCAATGACTTAATGGACAGTTTTAATGAATCTAACAGCAGGATTTCGTGGGTCATATCAATATGTGTATTTGTCTTAACATTCACAGGTTGGTACCTCTTTCTGTTTAAATGATATGGAAGCATGTGCCGCTCTTCATTGGCTTAACTACATGATGTACTCACCATATTGGCAATGCGTTCCTCATATGGCCCATGGGCCCTTTCTAGCCTCAGTTCAGTAACAGGGTTTTCAGGGGTTTGGGGATGGCGAGTAACAAGAGGCGCTGAAGGAGAGAGCCCCGTCTGCCTGCCCTGATGGCCTTCAGTTTATACGCACATGCACTAGAAACCTACTGTATGCATAGTCTTAGGATACGAGAGATTACTTTGAGGCCCGCAGTAAAGCCCCGTCCTATGCAGTCATTTTCTGAAGAAGCAACAGCAAAAGTACTTGCCGTACTAGCCCTGGTCTCATAAACGCATGCTTAGGAAAGAGGTCGGGACGTGTAAATGTGGATGCGTGAAGAGCAAGAGGATGTCAATCAGGATATAATGTAAAATTGCAAATCTTATCCAGGAGGGACACTCTGAATGCAGACAGCCGCTTCCCTAAAGGATTTCACTGGCTTACCAGAGTGCCTCCGAGAAAATGGGGTTTGAGTATACTTTTCTTATTTTTTTATTTTTTAAAATTTACATCCAAATTAGTTAGCATCTAGTGCAACAATGATTTCAGGAGTAGAATCCTTAGTGGCCGTTACCCATTTAGCCCATGTCCCCTCCCACAACCCCTCCAGTAACCCTCTGTTTGTTCTCCCTACATAAGAATCTCTTATGTTTTGTCCCCCTCCCTGTTTTATATTATTTCTGTTTCCCTTCCCTTATGTTCATCTTAAAGTCCTCATATGAGTGAAGTCATGATTTTTGTCTTTCTCTGACTAATTTCACTTAGCATAATACTCTCCAGTTCCATCCAAATGCAAGATTTCATTCTTTCTGACTGTCGAGTAATACTCCATTGTATATATATACCACATCTTCTTTATTCATTCATCCATTGATGGACATTTGGGCTCTTTCCATACTTTGGCTATTGTCAACAGTGCTGCTATCAACATGGGGGTGCATGTGTCCCTTCGAAACAGCACCCCTGTATCCCTTGGATAAATGCCTAGTCGTGCAGTTGCTGGGTCCATATGGTTTTCCAGAGTGGCTGCACCAGCTTGCACTCCCATGTTTGAGTATAATTTTCAATGTCCTACTTGTCTCTGGGTCCCTTACAGGCCTGATTCTCAGGACGGTCCGTCTGTCTATCAGGGGTCATGGCAAGGGCTTCCAAGAAAACACGGCCACTGAACTCACCTCAGAAAGTTAATGGGGCTGACCTTACACTTCCCTAGCCCTAATATCCTAACAGTGGAACTATTATCTCTGAATTTTTCTGTCTTTAAATGTAGTTAGTTTTCAGCCACATAATGTCTTAAAGAGGCAGCTCCATGGTTCTTTCCTATCGAGTAAAGAATTTCTTACTACTCCTCGTACAGTGTCCTGGGAGCGTCACAGAGGAGCTCTCCAGTTCCAGCTGAAGTCATTTACTTCATGAAATATGGATGTCTTCATGAGTATGAAGACATTTACTTAAAAAAAATTTTTTTTTTTTACTGTTATTCATTTTTGAGAGACAGAGAGAGACTGAGCATGAGTGGGGAAAGGGCAGAGAGAGGGAGACACAGAATCTGAAGCAGGCTCCAGGCTCTGAGCTATCAGCACAGAGCCCGACGCGGGGCTCAAACCGCGAGATCATGACCTGAGCTGAAGTCAGACGCTTAACTGACCGAGCCACTCAGGTGCCCCAAGACATTTACTTTTTTAATTGGGGAAAGTTTACTCAGCAAAACAATGTAAGTGCATTCGAACTAAAGTTTTACCTTTGGCATTCTTCAAATAAAAAGATGTCAGAGCTTCACTTTGAGCTCTTTTATAATCAAAAACAATGATACAGTCAACAAGAAATTTCCCATTAATACTATTATACCAGAAGATCATTCTTCTAAATGCTATTATGATACGAGTTAATGCTTTGCACCAACGGGCCACCTAACAGCGATGAGAGTGGTTTCGTTATGAGCTCTATTCAATATTGGTTTATAGTCCACTAACAGAAGAGTTATATATGGACTCACCCCAATGGAATAAATTTAGTCCTTCTTGTTTTGTTTTGGGGTTTTTTTGTTTTGTTTTTTGCTTCTCTATCCAGCATGTTCTGTATTGCTCTCTTACCCAATTGTCAATGGTTCCCTTATCTTGGTATATTCAAGTGAGTATCAGTGTTGGCCTAAATAACATACCACTAGGAAACTGATCTGCCAGACCTAAGTGTTCTGCAGGATATGGAGTACAGACCCTAAGCGAATGAGTGGATGATCATCAGCCACTCTGAATTCGCTCGCCCCTAGCTAGCCTCCTCGTGGGGTGTTCAACTGAGCCTTCGCTGTACTTTCACATCATTTTCAGAAAAGTCAAATGAAACTGAGCTAGAAACTGACCCCAAAGGGAGCTTTCTAAAAAAGAATCCAAAGCAGTGACTGTATAGAAAACGAAGACGATTCAAGCCATCATAGGAAAACCCGTTTTTGTCACAGAATAGCACACATGACATGCATACCTAACTTTATAGGTGCTCATGGAGAGCCCACGTCGCTTTCATCTAAAAATAGAGCCATATGTTTTATCCTATTACTCTGGCTTTCTCGGTAAGAAGCCCAAAGAATGTGCTGTCCCGTTTGAACAAATATAACCATCGTGTGAAATGTATTATATATCGCACATCATCTCTCCACGTTCAAGACTTGAGAAGGAATCTTAAGAAGGCTAATGTTCATGCCTCTGGGAATTAAAATGTCGCATTATGGTCTCTCGTGCAGCTCCCCTCTCTGCTGTCCTGAGCACTCGTTTTGGGCACCGTCTCGTGGTGGTGGCAGGGGGCCTGCTTGTCAGCACGGGAATGGTGACCGCCTCCTTTTCCAGGAAGCTGTACCACATGTACATTTCAATCGGCATCATATCCGGTAAGTGCTGCTCCTGGGCTCCAGAGTCCTCCAAATACTCCGTTTGAAAAACAAGGAAGGGGAAGGAGGGGGTCCAACCCAACATGTATCTTTTTTTCTCTTTCTCTTTTTTTCCTTTAAAATTAATAGTGCCCCAGATCGGTGGTTTTAAACTGGGCTGGATAGACTCCAGGGGATACGGGAATCTCTTCTCAGCGCCCAAGAGTTTTTGACTGTTTTTTTTTTTTTTCTTTTTTAATATTTACCAATGAGAAAGACAACTTCTCTTTTGCATTAGTTCACAGCCCAAAGACATCATTTTCACCAAGTAAGATGGGAATTTCCTTAGCGGGTATTTCCAGAGTGGGAGTCTGAGACTTCTGGGCTGTAGGGGAGAAAGCAAGCATGGTAAACTTTGTCTCGGGGTCTGAGGAAACGTTTTTCCCTCTCAAAGGAGTGCCTACAGGGGCGCCTGGGAGGGTTCAGTCGGTTAAGCATCTGACTTCAGCTCAGGTCATGATCTCGCGGTTCGCGAGTTCGAGCCCCGCGTCGGGCTCTGTGCTGACAGCTCGGAGCCTGGAGCCTGCTTCCGATTCTGTGTCTCCCCGTCTCTCTGCCCCTCCCCGGTCACACTCTGTCTCTCTTTCTGTCTCTCAAAAATAAACATTAAAAGCAGTCCCTACATTGCTTAACAGATGCTATATGTATTTAGTTAAGATTTGCACAACTTTTCATATATTTCTGCACCTATCAAAGCTCATTTCTTTTTTTTTTAATTTTTTTTTTAACGTTTATTTATTTTTGAGACAGAGACAGAGCATGAACGGGGGAGGGGCAGAGAGAGAGGGAGACACAGAATCGGAAGCAGGCTCCAGGCTCCGAGCCATCAGCCCAGAGCCCGACGCGGGGCTCGAACTCACGGACCGCGAGATCGTGACCTGAGCTGAAGTCGGACGCTTAACCGACTGAGCCACCCAGGCGCCCCCATTTATTTCTTTTAAATACAAGTCTTATATAAGAACTATATTCAATAGTGGTCTGTGTATTGTGAATTATATAAATTCTTTTAATGCCGAAAAACAGGGGGAAAAAAACACAGGAAACAGTTTTTATACTCCTGGCATCCCCGAACTGTTACAACTTTTCTAGACCTCTAATGAAATCCTTTTTTTTTTTTTTTTCAAGTTTATTTTGAGAGAGAGAGAGAGTGAGAGAAAGAGAATATCCCAAGCAGGCTCTGCACTGCCAGCATAGAGCCCGACTTGGGGCTTTATCTCATGAACTACTGAGATCATGACCTGAGCCGAAACCAAGAATGGTACGCTTAACTGGCTGAGCCACTCAGGCACCCCGAAACCTTTTATTTTATCTTACTTTAGTTTTTACTACAGCACCTTTTTCCAGAATGAAATTCACTGGCTTCCAGAACTTACGATTTATACAATAAACACCCCTCCCTCACCAAATAGTTTATAAAGGCAGCCTCTATTTCCTCTTTTACCCAGTAATCATTTAGGAAATGTATTGTTTGGATTTCCAAGAGGTTCGATTGTCTGGTGGTTAACTTTTTTGGTATTATTTTCAGATTGTTATGCATCGTGACCAAAGTATTTGCTGGCACAAAAATCTCTGGGGAAACCAAAAATGTCTATTTGACATGGCACATAATATTAAAAAAAAAACCTAAGTAATTCCTAAAAATACGTATGTACATACATACATTAAATTAAATATTAAAAACAGGGGCACCTGGGTGTCTCAGTCAGTTAAGCATCCAACTTCGGCTCAGGTCATGATCTCGGAGTTTGTGAGCTCTAGCCCCGCGTCGGGCTCTGTACTGACAGCTCAGAGCCTGGAGCCTGCTTCGGATTCTGTGACTCCCTCTCTCTCTGCCCCTCGCCTGCTCATGCTGTGTCTCTCTGTCTCTCAATAGTAAGTAAACATTTAAAAAAAAATTTTTTTTTTCCATAAAAAATAAAAAAATTCAAAAAACACAATAATCCCAGATCTTTGCACCCTTCTGTAATCAATCGTATGTGATGCTCACTCTTCTCTCTGGCTCTCTTTCAGGTTTGGGATTCTGCTTTAGCTTTCTACCAACTGTCACCATTCTATCCCAGTACTTTGACAAAAGGCGCTCCATGGTCACTGCAATTGCTTCCACGGGAGAATGTTTCGCTATGTTCGCTTTCGCCCCAGGTAGGCAGACCCTCGTGGTCCATGTACGGATGCGGGTTGGGCAAGCCCCTCTGCTCTTCTGGCCAACAGTCGGCTGACTCTACCCGTATTTGCCTTCTTTCCTGCAGCGCAGTTTGAGAATCTGTCCTCCCTCATCCCGTTTTAGGAATCCCTCCGCTCTAATACTAATCCGAGTTGACCTAAATAGGTCAACAGGTGTTAAGACGCCCATTCGGTGGGAAGGCTGGAAACATCCATTCCAAAATAACTAATTTAATAATTTGAGGCGGGTCATACTATTATCTTTCCTTTGTCAAAAGAACCATATTCAGTGTGGATTTAAAATGTGCTGATAAAGTTAGCTTTATTATCTGTGTGTAGGTAATCTCGCGGCAAAATTCTTCTCCCTAGTTTACTTGCTATCTCAGTGTCCGCAGGTAAATTTCACTCTAACCAGCAACAGACGGTTAACCTCGGAGACCCAGATTCGTTTCTTACTCTGCCGTTTCCTTGAAGAATGTGTCTGTGATTATACTTTGAGCGAAGGAGTTAACGTAGAAGTGTTTAGGGGTAACGTGTCCTAGTGACTGAAGCTTTTCACATAGTTGAGAAAAATGAAATGTGTGTGTGCATATAGGTCTATAGGAAGGCAGAGAGACAGGGAAAATGTTAATTGTTGAATTTAAGCAAAGGACGGGCAGTCACACACCCTGGTGTCATTCTTTCTGCTTTTCTGTCCACTTAATGTTGCGGGGAGACTCAGTGGTCTGTGAATGACCTGAGGGTAGGAACTGCATCTGGGCTTTGTTCCCTAGAAAATCCCTGCTACCTGGTAGGCACCCAAGAAATGTCAAATGGAAGGGCGCCTGGGTGGCTCAGTCGGTTAAGCATCCAACTTTAGCTCAGGTCATGAGATCATGGCTTGTGAGTTCGAGCCCCGCATCGGGCTCTGTGCTATTGGCATAGAGCCCGCTTCAGATTCTCTCTCTCTCTCTCTCTCTCTCTCTCTCTCTCTCTCTCTGCCCCTTCCCTGCTCATGCTCTACCTCTCTCTCTCTCTCTCTCAAAATAAATAAACATTTATATAAAAAAAAGGTAAATGGAGGGAGGAATATTGCACCCACTTTTGCCAGATGAGCATAAAGCTTCTCAAAATACCCAAGCCTAAAATATCTTGCAGTTTGAAGTTTCCCACATTAACGGGAGGAACGAGAGGTGTGAAAACAGGCTATAAAAGTAACTGGACCCCCCCCCCCTCCCCACGGAATGTGGGGCTGCTTTGCTCAGCCTATCTTCTGGATAACCAGCTTCCCATATCTTCATACCTGTCTGCTCTCAAAGAATTAGAATATCATAAAATTCTAACGAATATCATTTAGCCTTTCTGGGATGATTACGAAGATACTTTAAGGTCTTGCGGGGGGCCTGCATTATTCAGTTGTTGCTGTGGGGCTCCCCTGCGGCCGTCTCCCCCAACCTCCCAGTGTCCAGCCTACCCCTGGTCAGCAGCCCGGGACCCAGCTTTCCTGGCGGGAAGGAGCAGGACTCACACAGTAAAGGACAGTCTGCAGAATAGAAACTGTAGAACTGTGTCATCGTGGAATTCTGGGATCACCGTGAGCTCAGATGCTTCGTTTATCTTTCTACTGAATCCGTGACCACCAAAGACTGCATGAGTGAATGCATAGTGATGTAGCTCAGACGTAGGAAATTCTGTCTTTTAAAGGCCAGACGGTAAATACTTAAGGCTTTCACGGACTAGAAGTATCTGTCAGAACCCCTCACACTTTGTGGGTTACAGAATACCACATCGGCGAATGAGCGGGGCCACATTCCAGTCAAGCTTTAGTATCAAAGACACAGGCAGTGGGCTGGACTTGGCCTGCAGGCTGCTGTTCGCCAAAACCTGGAAGTAGGTCACCGGCTTACTTCATTTCTCGTGCCTCCACCGGGCAAAACGCACCCTCCAAAGCTCTTCTGGGGACCTAGGCTGACAGGTTTGGGTTTGCATCTGATAATCCCTGTGCACTTCTTCCCCTGATCGGTTCAGAACAGCATCAAAGCCTAGAATGAAGGATACAGTACAGGCGGACCGCATTCACCCTGCCAAGTACTAACTGCCAAGTCCTAACTTTTACCGAAGTTAGTACTCAACCGGAACCCTTACTTCTGCTCGGTATTTTCTCCTGGGCCTCGAGTCTGTTTTCTGACCTTCGATTTTTCTTTCTTCTTCGCCCCCGCCTCTTCAAGCAATCACGGCTCTGAAGGACAACATTGGCTGGAGATACAGTCTCCTCTTCGTGGGCTTGCTGCAGCTGAACATTGTCGTCTGCGGGGCGTTGCTGAGACCGATTATCATCAAAGGACCGGGGTCCCCGAAAGCAACCTCACACGAACACCGGAAAGAAGTGCAATGCATGCTCGAAAATGAGAAAACACGCACCTCAATAGATTCCATTGACTCAGGAGTAGAATTAACTACCTCACCAAAAAATGTGCCTAGTCACGCCAACATAGAACTGGGGCCGAAGGCCAATGTGCAGCTGGTGAAGGCCAGCTCCAAGCGGAGCGATAAGAAAGCCCCTCTACTGGACTTCTCCATCTTGAAAGACACAAGTTTTATCTGTTATGCGTTGTTCGGTCTTTTTGCAACCCTGGGATTCTTCGCGCCTTCCTTGTACATCATTCCCTTGGCCATTAGTCTAGGCATCGAACAGGACCGCGCTGCCTTCTTATTGTCCACCATGGCGATTGCTGAAGTTTTTGGAAGGATCGGGGCCGGCTGCATCTTCAACAGAGAGCCCATCCGGAAGATCTACATTGAGCTCATCTGCGTCATCTTATTGACCGTGTCTCTGTTTGCCTTTACTTTCGCTACTGAATTCTGGGGTCTGATGTCATGCAGCATATTTTTTGGGTTCATGGTTGGAACGGTAGGGGGTACCCACATTCCACTGCTTGCCGAAGACGACGTCGTGGGGATCGAGAAGATGTCTTCTGCGGCGGGAGCCTATGTCTTCATTCAGAGCATATCAGGACTGGCGGGACCACCTCTTGCAGGTAATTTACCTACACGAAATCCGAACCCTTGTCTACTATCCCCTTATGGGTTGTGCTGGCTTCTTGTGAGAGTCTTAAGACCTACTGGTTTTTATATGGTCCATAGAATTTCAGAGCTGACAGGATTAGAGATTACCTGAGCCAGCTCTCTTGACTTAAATAGGAGGAAATTGAAGGTCTAAGCATGTAAGCCAACAATCGTATGGTAAATGAGTGACCAAGTCAGGATTAGAAGCTCCGTCTACAGTCCAGGCTGCCCCAACCTTTGGCTGCCATCTTGCCTTGTAAATGCTCAAGGGGTACCCATCGCTGTATAACCTCACTCATTACCCTCTGACTTTTGGAACCACAGCACAAAAGGACTTCTGTAAGTCACCTGCCCTTCTTAGGAAGGGTGTGAGGAAACTGAGCACAGAACTCACTCTGCAAATACTTAATTGATCACTACACGATACTTCCTGGCGGAAGGACTTGGGTGTGTTTCACACCTTAGCCCCGGAAATAGGTCCTCAGAAGTTATTAGGACAGAAATCTTGCCTCATCTTAAAAGAGCCCTAAAGTGAACTCAAGTGAAAATAATAGAGTTCTTTCTTCTCACTGTTTCCTTTTCCAAGAAGCATGCATCTAACTGTCCCGCGTTGTATGCTCCATGAGGACAGATTAGCCCGTGAAGAACAAGCTAGCAACGCAGCCGTCTCAGCTGTGCGTTTGTCTGACTTCTCCCTTCTCCCCAGTCTAGGGAAGACTCATACCTTCAACACCCTTTTTTCTTTCGAAAACCCAGCTAGAACACAGAAGGCTAAGCCACTGAGAAGCTTCTGGGTGAGAGAGGGTTTGTGGCCATGTTGCTAACAGATACGAATGCTTTCTCTCAGGTCTGCTGGTGGACCAGAGTAAGATTTACAGTAGAGCTTTCTACTCGTGTGCAGCTGGCACGTCTGTGGCTGCTGGGTGCCTCGCGCTTGTGAGACCTTGTAAAAAGGGACCATGCCAGCGTCATCCTGCAGGCGAGGCCCAGGCCGAGAATCCTCGTGGGAAAGCTTTACAGGACATACCCGAAGACTTTCTCGAAATGGACCTCGGGAAAAATGAGCATAAAGTTCACGTGACCATGGAGCCAGTATGACATGCTTTGCAGTAACGCCAGCCATCCTGTTGGCCGGGAGGTGGGCGGACGGTGGGCGGGGGGGGGGGGGGCCCCCCCGGGGGGGTACGGGGGCTGTCGGCTCTGTGCACTTTCCAAATGACATCTTAAAGGGAATGTGTATGTGAACACGACCAACATCCTTTTCTTTTTTTCCCTTGTAAGTTTTCCTTTTTGCTTGTTTCTTAAGCCAAAACAGAAACAACCCAGCAATTTCCACACATCAATCTGGTTGTCTTCAGTAGCAATAAGAGATACAAAGAAGGACCCTTTGGCTCACATTCCAAGTTGAAGACAGTGACGTGAATCACCAGAGTGGTTTTAAGAGCTCTCACATGTGATAAACAACGATCTTATAAAATGCCATCAGCCCAGATCGCTGAAATGAAATCGGCCACCAAAAAAAAAAAAAAAAAAAAAAAAAAAAAATCTTAAATCACCTTTCAAATTTCTCATTTTCAGAAATAGGAACAAATTGTTTAAAACCCCTTAGAAAACACTGAGGTCTCCATTAACATATCATGGTTTCTCAGTTTTTCAACTATTCCATGGGAATGGAGTATAGTTTAAGACCAAACGTTTGGCTAACAAATTCTAAAAAATGTATGTATATAACTTGAACTTCATAAATGTGAAGATTACCACTTCTTTCTATGGCCAGTCATTACCAGAAGTATTTCAACACAGAATATACAGAATGGCATTCAAAAATATGTTTCCTGTTGCTTTTAATTATTCCGAAATATGTGACTGTAGTATCTTTAATTTAATCCACTATTTATTATTAAGTTATTCTAGGATGATTAAAATAATCAAAAGAAGTAAAATCTGAGACCTAAGCATCATTTTTACCTCCTTTTGGCAATCCTTGAAATGCCTCAGACCTCTTGGAAAGTTACTCTCATCAAAGGGCCAGGTTATAATGATTCTTCAATTTGATTAAAGGCCACATGCGCTAGTTAAAGGGGAAAAAAAAATAATGAATAGCAAATCGCCTTAGCTTCTTAAAATAATTTGTTTTATCACCTAAGAATACTTGAGGATCTCCTTTTGATTGGAATTCTATTTTATTGAATTGTTGAAGCATTTCTGATTTTTTTTTCTTCCTTTCAACAGCTAACTGTTGAAGCATTTCTGTATTTCACATGGGGTAGCAGAGACTTCGTATTTTACCATCGTACGTTACAAGTCGCCATTTACATCTTACATAAACCTTGATTGCTCTAAGTTGCCAGAGTTATCAGGTCAACTGGTCATTGTTGGTTTGGTTTTTTTGTTTGTTTGTTTGTTTGTTTGTTTGTTTGTTTTCGGAATCACACTACATGTATAGAATTTCTCATGTTACCATTTTTCCGTAAAGAGGGCAGGTGTGAGGGTCACAGGGGGGCTACTTACTTACATGTAATGAATCTCACTCTGCAGGTGATGGTCCCTCACTGCTCTTTGATTCATCTTTACTGTTAATTTATGACAACTCAGGGGGAAAAAATATAACAAGCCTAGTTTGGTTACAGGTACACACAAGCTTGAATATTTCTCTGCACTGAAATGAAAGTGGCGTAGTTCATCACCACCTGCTACATTTTGTATAGCATTTTATCAGCCATAGAAATAGGACAATCTGTAAAACTTTGGGGGGGTGGGGGAAAAAAATGACAAAGTGTCGAAAACAGACACACCTGGAATGGTGGATGTAAGCAAATCTCTGTCACTGCTTGAAAAGGACTTTGAGCTTTGTGGCAGTTTTGCAGACTTACACGACTTCAGCACTTTACAACATTTTTTACTATGAATGTTCAATACAATTTAATATTTATAACTGATTTCTGAGCAATCTGCCATTCTGTTCACTGCATGAAAAAAAAATGTATGCCAATTTCAGTATGTCAATAATCAAGGTTTTAAATGTTTTGGAGAAAATTAAAGCAGGATTGCTGATCTGTTCTGTATTTGTGACATTCTGGTATTTCTACTAGATATGCAATAAATGTATGGCTTTTTTTTATTTAAAGAGACGGATTCCTTTTTTAATGGACTCATCAGCATTCATTGTGTGATCCAATTAAAGTTATAAAAACTCAAGGAAGATTCACTCCAAATAAATAATTTTTTTCACTTTGCTGCGGAATCTTTTAATTTTTTTTTTAACGTTTATTTATTTTTGAGACAGAGCATGAACGGGGGAGGGTCAGAGAGAGAGGGAGACACAGAATCTGAAACAGGCTCCAGGCTCTGAGTGGTCAGCACAGAGCCCGACGCGGGGCTCGAACTCACGGACCGCGAGATCATGACCTGAGCCGAAGTCGGCCGCTTAACCGACTGAGCCACCCAGGCTCCCCTCTGCAGAATCTTTTAACTGTGCTAGAGATATTTAAACATTTCCAAGAAGTGTTTGTGGGACTTGATTACTTCTTAATGAAAAATATATAAATGAGATGATATCTCGGTCACCACAGAGTAGGAGCAAAGCCTATCGAAAGTAATAAATAGTTGAGACTATCTATATCCAGTTACGGAACAGTCCTAAGAGCTATCCTAAGTAAACAGCATACCGTCCGTGCCAGGGATCAGCAAACTTTTTCTGTAAAGGGCCAGATAGTAAATATTTAAGGCCTTGCGGGCCAGGTGGGTTCTGTCACAACTACTTAGCCCCGCGCTTGTACTGTGAAAGCAGCACAGACAACATGTACAAGAATGAGCATGACTGCTTGAATAAAAACTTATGCATGGATCCTGAAATTTGAATCTCAGAAAACTTTCACACATCATGAGGTATTATTTTGATTTTTTTTCCGCAACCCCATAGAAGTGTAAAAAATAAAAACCAACCCTATTAGCCTGTGATCTGGAAAGAGAAACAGGCAGGGGACTGACTGGATTTCGGCCCGTCGACTGTGGTCTCTGACCCCCTGCCCCATTCGCATCCGCAACACTGGAATGGTCAGTGAAGAGGAACGTCGGGACTGACAGGAAAGGATCACTGTGGTCAAAGTGGCTTTTAGATCATGGGTGCCAAAGACAGGAAAGATCAAACAGCTGATAGCATGTTAATTACAGGTTTTCCATTTCCTGGGATTAAAGAGATTCTGCTTTAACCTTGTCGACTTAATAACGGTCCAGTATAAATGAAGACTGCTTCCCTCCCCAAAAGTAAAATTATTTCAGAGGTAAAAATGAATGAAGATCATGTCTCCTTTCAGACAAATGCATCCCTAATGTATCCTTCCAAATGTATCCTTAATGGATACAGTGGTTCCAAACCTTTAAACAAAGGTAACAGTTTTGTACTTCCATAATGTGTAATGTAGCCTTTGTGCATTTATTTGCCTTTCCTTTGGCTTAATGCCTGGTGATACGGAAACAGAAGAGAAAATATAGATCCTAAGTCCAGGCTCCCATGGCCTGCTATCCATTCAAATCACCCAGAGGTATTTACATTACATTTAGATTTTTGTACTCTTTCTCAAATATCCTAAATCAGATATAATCACGAATGCTTATTGTAAAAAGCTCCCAGATATCAGACTCACTAATAGGGATTCAAAGTTCAGATACTATTGCCTTTGGTTATGAGCATTGCTTGAAACGACCAATTTAAAGACAATTCCGACATGTTCTGTGCTAAAAGGTCAATCCTATAAGCAGCAGTTGCATGGAGAAAAGAGAAGCTGTCCTTGTTTTTGGTGTACATGTTACACATGCACATGTTAATCAAATAAATCAAATAAATGAGGGCTACAATCTCCCGACAGGTGGGCCAGCCTTTGTATAAGTAAGGACACTAGCTCCCCCTGGTGTTCGGCTTTTGTAAGGACTCCCTGAGGGTGCAAAACCAGAAAAGTGACAAGTTCAAGAACTGGCAACTTGGCTTTTCCTGGAAGAGAAACTCTCACATCCAAACCAAAATTATTTCAGTGACTATGGATTTCCTAGAGGGAAAAATGGAGAGCAAAAGTGATATCCCAGAACACTTTATCTGTAAAGGCTTTTAAATAGAGTTCAGCGAATATTATGCAGAGAAAATACACGTTGTGGCCACGTATTTATATTCTTTATAGACCTTTCCAGCAACTCAAGAAAAGAAAAGCCCGTCAACTATCCTAGCAACGTCACCCCTAGAATTCAACCAAAGCCGTAAGTTCCTATCCAACACCGACAACTCCTGTTCTAAGATCTGCCTTTGCAGCTGAGGTCCAGACTCACGCACGCCTGTGTGACAGCACCTGATACCAACCAGGCATTTGCACCTTCACATGTCCTCAGTGGAACCCCCACCCTCCTCCCCAAACCTGCTCCTCCCCAAATCCTACTGGCTTTACTTTCTAAATATAGCCAGAACCTGCTTTTGCCAACTCTGCCAGGACCCCTGATCTAAGCCAACAGCATCTTAGCTGGATTACTGCAATAATCTTCTAGCTGGTTTGCCCAATTCCACTTTTGTTTTAATTTTCCTGCTTTAAATTTCCATATAGAAGCCTTACAATACCTTTTTTTTTTTGAGAGCGCATGGGAGTGGGGGGGACAGAGGAAAGGAGGGAAGGAGGGGGCAGGGGAGGGAGGGGGAGAGAGAGAGAGAGAGAGAGAGAGAGAGAGAGAAAGAATCCCAAGCAGGCCCCACACTCAGCACTGAGCTCAATGTGGGGCTCGATCCCACGACCCTGGGATCACGACCTGAGCCAAAATCAAGAGTCTGACGCTCAACCGACTGAGTCACCCAGGTGCCCCACAATAATCATAAATAATAATTTGTGGGGCGCCTGGGTGGCTCAGTCGGTTAAGCGGCCGACTTCAGCCAGGTCACGATCTCGCGGTCCGTGAGTTCGAGCCCCGCGTCGGGCTCTGGGCTGATGGCTCAGAGCCTGGAGCCTGTTTCCGATTCTGTGTCTCCCTCTCTCTCTGCCCCTCCCCCGTTCATGCTCTGTCTCTCTCTGTCCCAAAATAAATAAAAAACGTTGAAAAAAAAATTAAAAAAACAAAAAGAAATAATAATTTGTGTTTCAAGGCGCAAATCAGACACGATCACGTTTAAAAACCTTAAATCCTCAACAATGGGTTCTTCATGCATTGCCTGCTGCTACTGTTTCCTCCCCTGCTCCTGCTACTCTAGCACCGGCCTTCGAACTGTTCCTTGAAAACACCAGCCTCTTACCTTAGCATCAATTGTTCCCTTTCCCTGGCACACCCTTCAATTTGGTCTCCTCCAAGTGTTCCTGCGGAGGCATTCCTGACCATCCTACCCAACACAGTCCTTGTTTCTACTCTTTACCCTGAAAAAAAAAAAGTTATAAAAGTATTTGTTTTCCCTCATTTACTATGTCTCCTCCCTTGGTACATGATGGCAGCAGGTGTTTTGTGCACTGCTCGATTCCCAAGGCTTGGAGTAGGGCTTGGCATGTGGTAGGTGGGGCTCCCAAAATACTGTTGAACGAACAAATGAGTTCTTCCTTTTGCATCGGCTTTTTCTTTCTTTCATTTTCCCCCACTGGCTTTTTCAAGGGGGGAAAAAAAAAGCCATCTATTGACAATTACAGCTCAAGACAGTCTGGTGTCGCTGCAAAGAAGCTGGGTGGCCCTGGGACACTGAAAGCCCTGGGATCCAAACCTAGAGGCCCAAGAGCTAAGTCCCCAATGGTCCAGCAGGAGGAGCTCTACAAGGGTGAATCAGCTTTAGGGCAAAAACGTAGGTCCGACGGAGACTAAACAGTGGGAAGAAATTACCAGGAGGGTAGGTAGGCCGATGGAAGCCTGAGTTTTCACAATACTGCTGGAGCAGATTTTGTTTTAACTTAACCTATTTTCCAGTAGACTTTTTTTTTTTTTATGATGACTGTTTTTGTTTTTAAATGCCTCCTCGGGAGCAAGGGCTTTTCTGGATACAGAATCCCTTTTTTTTTTTTTTTTTTTTTTTTTTTTTTTGGTGCTAACACAAAGTGCACGGACTGATTTCTCTGACTCTGAGCAACCCCAGATGGCCCCACTCAAATAGAAAAGGGGTTGAAAGAAAGTTTAATCTTTTACAACCCCTTCTATAAACAATCTGGGGGAAAAAAATCGGCTAGGTTTCTGGCTTGTGGTATTTTACTTCTTACGAGGTCATGCGGCAGAGGGAAAACAAAGCAGAATTCGAAATGAGGGAGATCTGGACCCGTTTTGTCTTTGCCACGGGTGCTACCGGGCACAAGTTTACTTAGCTACTGCGGCCTTGTTTCATCACGTGTGAACTGAGCAGCATGCACGTTATTACTAACACTTGACGATTCCGCATTCCAAGCCTAAAAGCACATTTAAAGGCCATACCAGGCCCTTGGTAACGGGAGGGGGTGAACGACCAAAACCAAAACCAATGCCACGGAAGGGAACAGCCAGACCTGCGGGCCGGTCAATACCGAATGCGAAGGCCCTCAGCAGTGTTCACACCCCGAAGACCCGCGCGACGCTTCCCCTGAAACAGCCTTTCCCCTTCGTTCCTCCTGGTGCCGCCTCGCAGGTGCGTCTTTGCGCAGAAACCCGCCCTAATCTACAGCCACGAGCCCCGAGCCGCGCGGAGCCCCGGGGAGCACGTGCAGCGTGGCCTCCGGGGCGGAGATACGGCCACCCAGGACGAGAAGAGAATGTTCTTTTTCAGACCGAGGACGGGTTGCAACGGTAATATCGGGGATGCACTGGGCTAAACTGTGCGCTCCAACCTCAGTCCACGTGCCCCCTTGTGCACGTGCTCACGTGCCTCCCAGGCACGGCAAGGTGACACCCGGGGCCCGCGCTCTACGCGCACTGGACGGTGCCGCTCTCGCCGGTCCCCAGAACCGCGCGAGGGGCGCCCACGCGGCCTCCGAGCGCCGGCGCCGCGCACACGCGCCCCCGAGCCCGCTCGCTCGCTCGCTCGCACTCACGGCTCCGCCGCCGCCCGCCGCGCCGATCCGCCGGCCTTCCCGCG